AATTAAATGTTTTTGATTTTTCCTAATTCGATAGTGATGTACACAGCCTTCTCTACTTGCTCTTAAATACCGTCTCAGTATCATTGCACTTAAAGCAACGGATGATAGCCAAAAACATATGCCGCGCAAGCATTACTCCGATGCCAAAGAAAGGAACCTGCAAATATCATCCAATTGCTTGCACTTCGATTGCTTTTGAGAGGCTTATTCTTGGTGTGATGTTAGCCCAAACGCAATTGGAAGACCTTTGTATATAACAGCTCAAGGTCCACCTTAGATGTTTGTATCTTCTCTCCCACATTCTGTGCTATCATCATTGGATACTAACATCAAATCCACCCACATCTATTTCGTGGAATATAGCAACCGCTGGCTGTGTTAACCATGGATTGCTTTTGTGTGATCTGTTCGACTTTGGAGTTTAACCTTCTGTCGTTCTTCTAGGAAAGCATTATTTTACCAGGCGCACCCAGGTTACCAGTTTTTCATTTGAAAAAATTGGTAACAACACGAGTTCCGGTGTTCTTCATGGGTCCCTTATGTCTCCATTTTTACTCTTCACCGAAGCCATCATGCTGATGTGCACGGGTGACGTCACCCTGGGTGTCCACCACCCAACCATAGAGTCATTAGTAAGATAGGCAGCAGTCTAGTAAACAGACATCGAACCAAACAAAACCATGGAAATCACTGAAAGAAAACAGGTTTAACACCGTATCATCATCATGCCACTTTGACTGAAGATGAGCAACACTCTTCATCTATTGTACCGCAATAAAAGAGAAAACGCTGGGCGTTTTTTGTTATTTTGCACGCACCATTTTTTAGTTTTCTTGTCGTTTTCGATTGGTATGCATTAAGCATCCAAATCTAAATGATTATGTACACAGATTCTCCAAGGCTTTCAATCACGTGGCATATCCGGAATCGCTTCCAGCCATCAGCGCTCCTCATCCTTTGGTCTACAACCAGGCAGACACGTGAATCCAATGGTAGCAAGACGTGAAGTCATCGATTTCGTATGTTATCGTCAGGTTGATGGTGGACCGCCGCGTGGTTCCTTCCAATTGAATCCTGCACGTGCAAGTAGAGCACGATAGGGCAGACACTCAGCTGACATACGCGGGACGTGGCTGCGCCATTTTAACTGGTGCAGCAAAACCATCTTGTTGAAGCGAATGCATTCCCTAAGACACGGCGTCTAACTTCAATGTAGCAACTTTGTTGTTGCCACTACACACGAGCAATCCTCCTCAAGCACCCGTTGTCGAAGGCCGAGAGCCGGCGCATGTCGTCTACGCGAACTACCCATAACTCGCTTCCTTATAGCAACACTGCCCTAACGGTGGCATTGTAAATACGACCCTTTACTAAGAGGAAGCCATCCCGATGACGCCAAAAGTATTTCCAATTGACAAACGCCGATCAAGCTTTGGCGATGCAAAGAGAAACTTCCTTTCCAATGGTACCGCCAGCGGACACGCAGCTGCCAAAGTAGACAAAGCTGTTCCCTTGTTCAAGCTGTATATTTGTAATAGTGAGCACGTGAACGTGTGAGTGCCAATCCTGAAGCAACACTTAACATTTTGACTGGGCAAAGCACATTCGGTACCTAGATGCCTCAATCATCAAACGGTCTAGAGTGGTTTGCATGCCCTGTGAGTCCTCACCAAGTAAGGCGATAACATTGGCATAGTCTAAATCAGTCGCAGGCTTAGCCGGTAGTAGCTGTAGACCATAATTTTGGTAACCGTTTAGAGCTCTCGAGAGGACATCTTCAATTTCAAAATGTCATAAGATCATTAGCCAAATTACACCCCCCGGTCAGTCTTACAGCTTAGTCCAACTCCCGCTACCTATAGTTGAACACTACAAAATCGAAAGACGTTCATTTTAGATGTTTAAAGGTAATCGCTACCAGTAACTTCCTACGCAATGGCTACAACTTTGCATCGATGATGGACATGCGAAGCCTTCAACGTCTGCGAAATACCTGGGAATGACACTGTACAGTGGTCTTACGTGGTCCCTTCACATAAACGAACGATTCGTTAAACTCAGGAGAATCTCAGTATGTTATTGGTGTCAGGCCTTACTGCGCACCTCCTTATAAAACCATACATGTTATTGCCGTGTATCCTACCATCGTGTACATACAGCTTTCCCGTATTCCTCCCTAGTCTCATGAGTACGTACCTCAAACTGACTGCTATGTTAGAGAAACATCTGTCTCGATGTAGTGCCACTTTAATACCGGAACTTGGTATCCATGTTAATCCGTAAGAAATTTGGGCCCTAAATTTTCATGTTATAGTCACTCCATCTATAAGGTGTCCGAATGTTTATCAAACTCCTCGATTAGATAGATGTACAAAACTATATGTGCCCGTACACTGGCCCATGGTAAGTCGGTTGCCCCTTTTTGTCAACATTTATCTACTTGGTCAATCTACTTGGTCAATCAAGAACCGGTGGTTATATTGCTTCAGTGAAATGAACCCTTTCGGCGCTTCTTCTAAGAACTGTTGTTTTATGTCTATCTTTCCGTCATACTATTTCATTAGATTTCCCTATCTTAGGGTTGTGGGTTACAGCTGAATATCCATTCTTCCTGGCTACCCAAAGCACATTTTGAATGAATGTGATCATGCAATTCTTATATGCTCTAGACTGTATTGTATTCACCAACGTCCCGCATCCATACAGCACTTATCGAAAATTAACCACGAGTAGGTTTCGTTCTTTCACATCATTTGGCGGAGCCTTCAAATTTCGCCGTGCTTTAAGGTTCCGTACTGTGGAATTACTAACACGCATTCCTTTGATTTTATAAAAACCGTCATATTTTCTCTTTTTACCTGGCCTGTTACCAGGCCTGTTACCTGTTACCATATTGATCTACACACGCGATATTTTAAAATCGCTGTGTTTCCGCAGTGCGGTTAGCGGCCTCCGGTTGGTGCTTTTCTGGCTGTTAGCAATATTCTTTCTTGTTGGTTTTCTCCGTGCACTGGAATTATCTCCTGGAAATCACAATATCACTCAACTACATTTATGATCATAAATCTTTCTACCAGTTACTTGTGTCATCCGTTTTATTTCAGCGACCCCACAATCGGTCGTCATCTTGGTTTCGGGTTGTTCATAATTCCGAAACTATCACCTTGCGGTGCCTGATCCAAATTTGTCGGAAATCGAGGAAACGGAATCACATAGGTTTCGTGTGACGTTAAATTCCGTATTGAACTATCAATGGGGCGCTTTCGACGTTTTTCTGTAAGAATTGCAGAAACGAAATACAGCCGGGGAAAGTAATAAAATATCAGGAATTCCCTTCTAGGCTGAATAATTCCGTTGCAAGCAACTCCGTGTGTTTGATCCAACATGCTATTCCGAAGGGCCTTCAGGTATCAGATACAATTTCCTGCTGGTCCGGTGCACTCACCGGCACGAAATTTCTCCTTGGCGTGCAGCGCAGTTTCACGTGACACGAACCTTACCTGTGTTGCATCCTACGGGCACAGATGTCCCGGTGTGTGACAACCTGTGTATTGGAGACACGTGGAAAGTACGATGAAAGAAAAAGCGTAAGGATGAAAAGAGTATCCACCGTAAATCAACAGCAGGCCAAACCACGTGAAGCTCGGGAACATCCTCGTCCTGTAAGAGCAACTTTGGCCGACCATTGGCGGTTTAACATCATGATCTTCCACGCGCCTGGGTTCAGTGATCCAACTGCAGAAACTCTTCGTCAGCTTCCAGCATTTCTGGGTTGCAAATTCGTTTGGCTCTGTAAAAGAGAGTTTTCACTAGGCAACATTTGTATGCAGCTGGGGCGAAGCTGGAACATTGAAGGCACTGTCTATTCTAAGTTGCCTTGCGGTGAACGGTGCGCTGCATTGTTCCTTCGGTTCGTTTCATCTTGAGAATATCCAAAAATATCAGGCTACCTTGTCGTTCCATCTTATGGGATGCCAGTAGGTTGGGGTGAATTAAAAGCAGTATGGTTAACATCCAGTTAAATTGTTTGCCGCTGGTGAATGTTTCACGTTATATTTTCTGATTAACATTCTAGCAGCTTCTTCCTCTCCAGTTCACTCTTAAAGATGCCAGAAAAATCTTTCTCATATTCGTCGATCAATTGACATTTCCTAGGCGCCGAGTTTTCTTCCCAGTCCTTCTTCCCACCCTCTTCGTTCGTCTGCCATATACGTCATGTTCGCGATGCCATTTGAACGTGCTGGCACAGTTTGTTTAGTTATTTTCCTTTTGCAAGCATATCTCTGTCCATCTTTTTGCCCTGGTGTATTTTCCTTATGCGGTGTACTATTAGAGCTGGCGGGCATCACGAGCTTGGCAATCGCGTTTTAAACAGAAATATCCATTTTTTCATTATCCGTTCGGAACATATCTGACCGATCACGAGCATCTACTGTACTGTATGTTTCAAATAAACAGGTTTTTCATCACACTTTAACTTTGATGCAATTATGAATTTTCCAAAAGCCAACTGGCTTCGATTGCAACCTGAATCCATGTTATTGTATCGTTCATCGCTTGAAGTGTTTCGCGTTCATCGATCTTTCGGGAACGGTAAATTCATTTGCTTCGCGAAGTACAATACAACACAACATTCACCTAATAGGATTAAGGTGCACTACTGTACACTGTGGTCGTGATGCTATTCCGCTCTAAACACCGATCAGGCTGACCGTAGAACGTTTTGTTGTTCCTTTTCGATCAAGCACCAGTCTGTAGTGACCGGCAGAACACATGCTACAGGCCGATGGATAAGTTTCACTTGATCGTTTCTACTTTTCTGGCTAAGTGTTGACCTCTGCAACGATGTCTGCCTCATCACCCACTTTCAGTCTTTGTTGCTGTATGGCAATCTTGTAGTGAAATGGCGCGTGCACCTAGACACTGGGTGTGTTCTGACCTATTTTTCTGTTGGATTCCTTTACGATTATCAACATTTTTCCTTTTATACACGATCCCAGCATCCTCAAGATGAAGTGGTCCTCCGTCGTCATTTTAGCGATTGCTGCATCAGCGAGGCTGCCTTCGTCGCCAGCAGGAGCAGCTCTGCGTGCGCCTCCGGCGAGCTAGTTCGGGTTCAACTCGCCGTTCCTGGTAGGTCAGGCTGTTCACTCTGAACCCCATGCACCTCACCTGAACCATTAGTTTCGTATTTTGCCGCGGATTGTTTTTAATACGTTCGCAGACGTAAGTATCTCTCTGTCATTCATGCTTTCGGTGTACAGCCAGTAAACTCAGAATTTTAATTACCTGCATTTGTGCACTATATGCTGCTTTGGAGAACATGTTCACAACAGGGCAGTTTACAAGTGATTAAAAAGTATTTCAGAATCGCGACGAATGTCTTTTTGGATATCAGTCACGCGGGTTCACAACCACACCTGTGCATGCTTCGTCAGTCACCGCACTGCTCTCAACCACATTGATAGCGCATGTGATCACACGCAACCCTTTTAGGAGGAAATCATACAGAGGGGACCAGTAGATCCGGTCACTAGATGTGGCATGTTTTATTCACAATATGCGTTCTAACTCACTCGTTTTTCGTGCTTAAACGTACATTCTTGGATCTTCCCACCTATTCGGTGAAACTACATGCATCTTGCGCAATCGCACTGAGCTATCAACAGATGACCAGCGCAGTGGTTACTCTCAAACTTCCAGCTATATGCCTTTGTAAGAGTTAAACGCTTGTCCAATACAGCGAACGTAGGAGTCGCTTGCCAAGCACGATTAGTACCTAATTTAGCCTGTTGCTTCTTCGCCTCATTATAATCACTTTTTGGTGGATACATGTTAAAGGAGTGTGGGCCGATTCCGTTGATGAAACGCGACTCTCATCCGCATGCCTACCGGTCTTATTCCTTCGGATTTACACGATATAATATGTGCGGGTGGAGCTGTGAGTGGTGCAGCGCAAACCACCCGTAGTCCCTCTGTAGGCGCAGGCGTCCTGTGGCTGGCCACAGTGACAAACAAATCCGAAACCGGATGCCGCCAACTATGCATGTATGTGTGCCCCATGCTGAGGCTGATGTTGCATTCTTGATGCTTCTTCACATCCAGTGTCTTGTCATCCAGTGTCGACGTGTACGCCAGACTTACCGTGATATATATATATATATATATATATATATATATATATATATAGCTTGATGCATTCGTTTCCGGATTTACCTATTGCTGCGAATGCGATCAGCTCCAGGAAGCTTGCGCTTACAGAGGCAGCATGGGTGGCTTGTGCTGCACCACCCACAGTTTTATCCGCACAACTCATATCCAGTGTAAATCGGAAGGAATAAGTCCGGTGGATATGCGAACGAGAGCCATGTTTCATCAATGGAGCCATCCCTCACTCGTTTAACATGCGCAGCAGCTCCTTTCCTGTCTGCTTAACTGCGGAGTCATGTGTACCAGACATACACAAGGCAGTGGCTGGGCCGTAGTTAGCTCCACACTGGATGGAATCACTTTTTGAGCCTAACATGGTCACGAGAACCATGCACTTCGTCACCCTATCAAAGAATAGCTTTCTCAGGGGGCCAGTAATCGATGTGGAGGGTGTTGGAGAGGTTTGCACCTTGTCAAAATTCGCATCAAGTGCATCCACATCTTTGAACTCAATCAACAGCAATCACCTGCAATGCAAGAGAATCAAAATGCTGGCACACATACAGACCAACTGCAGCGATGATGTGGCACACCTGCCATATCCACCGCATTATTGCTCTACGTTAGTAAATCGAATAGAATGCAACGTACTTAGCAAGCGCTAATACTTAACTGCTTAACTTGCACGTCGTCTCTTCGATAGTAGCCCCTGGGGGCCACATTGTTGGTTTATCAAATCAGCTTGGCTGAGGCATACACGACCGTATGTGCTTGACCTCGATGGGTTTGGCTCAATTGTCGCCTGTCGTTTCCCTAAGCGACATTATTCTTACTGGTGCAACAGTTAATTCTGATGGACTTGGGCAACAGTACTCTTGTTGTGTTCACGCCATTGGCGACGATCTCCTACCATTGTTTCCCGACATCCGATGTCCTTATTCTTTCTTGATATCATCATTTTACTTGTGCTGATATCGCAGCTTCGGTTTGCTCGTTTTCCGTTTTAGTTTAATAATTTGGCCTTATGTGAGGTGTTTTGGTGTTCTGATTGCATCCATAAGTCGGATATGTCCGGACGAACTCAGGTGTCAGAGTAGCATCATTACGTCCACTCCGTACATGCCACAGTTACGGATACGCATAATGCAACACAGGCACGGTTGATTAACGCGTACCAGACAACGCTGTCTTTTATTTATAGCGTCCACGTTTCGCTGTGTAGAGAAATACCAACAGCACCATTGTATATCATCAGCTTAGTTCCACAGGTCATACTGATTGCACCAGTGGGACCAAAGCCTCACACACCATCAATATACGGTCGCGTAGCTCGCTGACAAACTGCATGTCTGTTGTTGAGTTCTCCAAGGATTCGCCATCAATTTCGAGTTACAGGTAACTCACGGATTCCACTGCTGTTGGTTACTGGAATAGGAAGTTTTACCTGTGTAAATGCTAAGTCCTAACTTACTTGTTGTCGAAACGAGAGACATCCTCATGCACTGCAACTCATCTTCGCTGTATGCAAACAAAGCGCAATCACGGGCAAACAGCAGTTGTCACTCCGAAACGACGAATGTTCAGCAACCAACCGCTTGGGTTGCCTGATTATCTTCTCGTGGTGTCAGCTGGTTGCTTCAGGTTTATTCAGTTACTGCATTTACTTTTGCGTAAGTATTTTGGGATGTGATTGGTTTTCGCCTGACAAACGTTTTCCCCATATAGAGTCACAATTTTCCGTTTAACAAAACTGGTAGATGTAATTCGCTGCTATCTAAAAATCACTGCCTCTTCCTTCACCTCGGTGGAGCGTTGTAATCCAGAGGATTTATGTTGGCTGTATTGGGCTCACGTTTGGAAACTCACCAAGTTAAGCGCGTATGAACTAAGCACTCAGTCATCGACCTCAACTCGCTTTGCTCGCCTTGCGCTAGGCTATTCAGCTACAGAGTCAGAGTCGTGTCCTCAAAGACAACTCCGTGTGTTGGCTCTATGTCTAGTCGCTAGGCTGTTGAGATTACATTACAACTCCGTGCTTTGGCTTGAGCAGCCTGGTTTTATACTCCTTCCCCGACAAGTCTATGCATTATTTTATGTTGGTTTCGGTTCCTTTTGAACAATAACAGTACCTTCCTTTGTTTTCCAAGCTTTACCTGGCTCACAACTATACTAGCTCCAGCAGGCAGTTGCTCATTGCTGGAGGAGACGGGGTGCATCGTCGTTTTGACGGTACTAGGCTCAAAGAGTGGTTCCATACATCCATTAAGGAGCGGTCTTATGACCCAGCCACCTCGTTGCGTACGTTGGGTCCGCATGATCCCCAGGTTAGAGTGATTGGAATCTTGCCGCTGAGCATATTGTGGCAATGTGGGCCGGTTCCGTTGATGTAATTTGGCTTCCATCCAAATGCCTCCCGGTCTTATTCCTTCGTATTTGCATTGGATATGGGTTTGTGGATGGAACTATGGGTGATGTAGCGCAAGTGACTTATGGTTCTTCTGTAGGCGCAGGCGTCCTGTAGCTGTCCCATGAAGGCCAGAGTCTTCCGCTTCTTTCACTGGCTTATTGTCGCTTTGGCAACTTGCTAGCATTTGTTATTCTCTCCGGAATAGAAGTTAGACGGGGGCACCTTTTTTTGGAAAATTGACTTGGTCCATGCCTTGGAGTGCGAGTAGATTCATCATCCAGAGAACCACTGACAATCAGCCCCAATGTACATTTGTACATCAGCGTGTCACTTGACACTAAAGCAGATCAATTAAGGATTGCTTAAAGATCTACACCGGGCTGTTGCAATCCACAAGTTTTTTATTATAATGAAGGCGATCAACGACGGGAGAGTGGCCATGTACTGACCAAGTCCTTCCAAGTAGACACCACCAAGGGTTCTGGTGAGGTGACGCGGCGTGACAATTCTTCAAGAAGACTAGGGTACTTTGGGGTCATAGCTGACAGAAATATTCGTCAAACGAATCGGAGGGCCGGTGTGGATGATGTATTTGATCCGTGGCCTTCTGTTCAACAAGCATACCTTTACCAGAGGGAAGCAGTGAGGTTAGACTTATCTAAGTTTAGTTCAACAAAGTTAGACTGAGCCACATGGGCATCAGAGGTCTGGGATGACCGAGATTTCCTTAAACTGAACCGTGATCCCATAGGAGATTGCGAGTCGCAATCTACATGCGGAGAGTACTCCTAAGTTTGGCGGAGTAGTGTAAGGTAGGATTCGGGTTAAATTCCGAGGGAGTGTCATAACAACCCCACTCAGTCACTCGGACATTGCACATCCGAAAAAGCACTGGACGGCCATTTTATCATTCCTAGATTCGTCAGCATTGTGCATTCCATTTAACTACTGTGAAACCAGAACACGAGACCCTACTTTTGCGAGTTCGTGCATGAGAGCATTCCTGAAATTAGCACGCAGTCCAGATCACTTGCAAATAGTTAATCGGTTGCTGGAAGCTGGGAAGTCCTAACGGGCAAGTGCGTTTAATTTAAGTTTCGTTATATCATCTCGTTGCAATACTTCGTGGCCCAGTGACCTTGACCGCGGACTCATAAGAGTATGGTCACAGGTTGTTGTTCCACAGAGGTTGGATGGAATGCACAATGCTAACGATTCCACAAGTAATGAAGCGGCTGTCCGATGTGTCCCATGAAGTGTGATAACCACCTGACTGGGCCTGAAAAAGAAAGAAAGAAAGCATCAACAGTACGCCGGTAGCGCAGTACCGGTACAGTACAGTTTATGGTTCTGAGGTCGAGTGTGTGTCGTTCGGAACGACAGGATTGCTGTGAATGGTAAGGCACTGAGAATATGCACAAAGGTCACTCAAGAAAAAGACTACCGAGTTAGATGCACATACAGGATCCTCCAGTCCAAACGAAACCTGCCCATAGAACCAACTGAGCTTGTCCACTTTTCTCTAACAATGTATTGCAAAATTAGTTTCAATGTGGAATAATATAGAAATCTCAGT